ATCACATAATTTTTAAAAATAAATAGTGTTCTATAAAACATGCAATAAATCAAAATAAACATGTGCTCAGTACTTGGACAATTTCTTAAAATTTTTATTCTTTAATCTTTTGTGTCAGTCATATCTCCAAGTGATACTTTGGGGAAACTTTGTTAGACAGCGTTAACCCTTCCTGATCACACTGTCCACCTCATCAGACAGTGGACAGTTCAGACTACAAAGGGAAAGGAGTTATGTGTTTGTGTTTTTCCCTTTTTAAACATTTTTAGGTTGAGTTCTACTGGTTTTGTTTTAAAATCTAGGTTCCTATTTTCTCCATAAACATAGACACTAAGAAATATAAAATTATATATGGTAAAGAAATAGAAAAGAAAGGCAGCTTGTGCCCCAAATAGATAATATTAACCATACAGCATATTTTACCTTTTGAGTAAACAAGACTTCATGACTTTTCCAGTAAGCACAAACATAACTTCATAGTCCCATTATATAAAATATTTCCTTCTATTGATCAAAAGCCAACAATTTTCTCTGGCTAATATTTAAATCTAAGCAAAAATAATGGATTTTGAGATTTTTTTTTTCTATAAAGTTTGCCTTGTACTTTCTTCTACTCCAGAGTCTGTGATGAAGTCTATACCTGAACAGAGAAAATGTGAGGATCTTTTGTTCAGTACCTAGATAACTCAGCATGAAATCTTTTATTGCCAATTTTTCTGAGGCTGTCACCTTTCCGCAGGTTGGCAGGTTACTTGCACACAGTTTATTTCAGCTGCCTGGTGCTCTTGCAGCCTGGACTGCCAGATGCCACCAATTTCTCATCTCCAGAGACCAAATTGTGTTGGCATAGCTCAGTGGTTCTCCACCATCCTTGTACATACCAAAGCTTGGGCTTCACTTCCTGACTAATTAAATAAAAATATCTCAGAGACGGGCAGATGAGCAAGGTGGGCAGAAGTGCTGAATCTTTCCTCAACCTCAAGCGGCAAGTATGAGGCCAGACCAGGGGGGAAATAGAGGTCCCATCCAGGAATCCACGGACATTGTTTCAAGGGAGCCTGTGAAGTCTGAGGCTCATTTTTCTTGGCACTAGCCGAGTGGCACATGAGTGAGAAGACCTGGCTAAAAGCATAAGATTAGAGAAAACAGGGCTAGAAAGTGGGCACGAGGTGTGTGCAGTGTTGTGGGTTTGCCATCTATACCTTCATAGCTGTGACTTACCCCCCCCCATCTTTTTCAAAACAGATGCTCCAGGACTGTTTTCAAAGGAGCTATTTCTCTCTAGCCAGAAATACTCAAGAGATGTAAAGGCCACAGTTGGTTAGAATTTAAGGTATTGCGGAAAAAATGAATCTCAACACAAATGTAAGATCTATTCTAACTTCACCCTATTTTTGTGAAGTTATTTGCACATGGAAAGCACTTATTAGATATTATCTGATTGAGGTTTACAAAAGAAAAACCTACCTTATGAAATCACAGTTAATTTGAAAATACAATTTTGCGAAGAGCATGGAGTTGATTGAAAGCCCCCAGGACATAATGAACAAGGCGGGTCTGGGAAGGAGGTCGGAAGTTTGGCCTACCGGGAATTCAAAGAACAGGTGCGGGGGAGGAGAAATGACCCGAGGAGCATGTGAGTCAGGGCACACAGCACACAGGGGAGAGCTCCTTACTGAAAAAACTGCCTGGGAGTCATCACATGGCTGTCTCATCACCAGCTCAAACTCCTCCTGGCCAAAGCAGAACCATAAAATTCTTCCATCTCCCAAAATCCCTTGCCATTTTACACAGCTGAGCCGTGTGTATTCTATTACCTCTAGTCAGAATGCCTACACTCTCTCCATCTTAAAGGAAAGCTGTGCTATTCTTTAAGAGTGTTCTCAGACGTTACCTTGCCTTGGAAGCCCTCTCTGGTTTCTCAATCCACTGCCTCTACCACCCAAAAGTGCCTTTCCTTCATAACCCAAGCCATATGAGCACACATTTTAGTACATGTATCACTGTGACTGTTTTTAAGTCTGTTTCTCCCAATAGACCATGACCTACTCGAAGGTAAAAACAAAATTTTATGTACTAGCTGCTTGGCACATAGTAGGAGATTAACAATTATGTGGTAAAAGAATGAATAGACACAGAATTGAAATTCAGAACAATGACATTGCATAGAAATGCTTACTAAAGAGTGTCAGTAAGAAAAGCTTTGGAGCAGAGGTGGAATTGAGAGAGCAGACAGCATTGCAGGGCTTCTCTCCTCTCATCTTTGCTACCCAAGTATAAGTCTTGAAGTAAGGTGTTTGTAGGAGGTGGAAGGCTAAGATGCTCTGCAGAATGAGAGGGGAGGATGAGCTTTAGGAAGTAGGGCTATTCAGGAAGCATTATGGGGGTTGGAAGTGCTGGGATTAGGGAGGGTAGGGAGGCAAAGCTTTCACCTTAGAAAGCATATTTTCATTCTGAAAAGCACAGGGATAGGCAAGACATGGACTATTCAGAGTAATCTCTGTCCTCTAGGTCAGGGAGAGAGTCAAACGGGGCACCCTTTGTCCAGCCTGCTAAACCAGGTGGAGCAGAAAACTAGAATTCAGGCAAACATTCTACTCTGGATAAAAGAATTTGCATTTGGCTGGTACCCATCGTTGGGGCTCTCAGGAACTTGGGTGCAACGCAAGGGTGAAAACACAAATGGTGATGGAGGCCAGGTGTGCCTAATGACTGTGCAACGCTGGGCAGTGTGGAATGAGGAATAGGAGAGGCACATCCTGCACCCAGGACACCCCCAAAGTCCTGCCCACGACTGCTACTCAGCCTCAGATGATTGTCTCTGTGCAGGAATGTGGGCCCATGATTGCTAGAACTTTCAAATTTTTATGAGAAAAATCCTAATTTAATATTGAATTTCTAAATTTTGAAAGATAAAAAAGTAAACAAATTATTGTAAATCACACTTGAGCGTACCATGTGCAAGCCAAACAATACACGCCTCAAGATTGACTCTGGCTCCAAGGTCATTAATTTGCAACTATGAATAATTTGGAAGGAGAAGTGGGTACTCAAGGAATCCTCAGTGGGCCAACGGTGAAAGTCACTCAATATGATCCGGAGCCTCACCTTTATCTCATTGTTTCCTGGCCTTAGACATGTTTTTGATACTTGCATGGTCCTATCTACTCAAAATAGATCCTTCCATTGACATCATCTAGAAGGAAGAGCATCTGAACTTCTTAAAATAGAGAATCCACAAGTTCACCATATAGGAAATTGAGCTCCCGGCTATTTTTCAATGTCAGTTAATAAGATAAAAGTGAAGAAACATTAACATTTGGTGTATTCAGTTGGTGTTTGCAGAACAGAGACATGTTTTCTGAGCTTCCATGAAAAAAAAAAAAAGTATAGATCTGCCCACTGGCTACTGTAGAGAATTAATAATCAAGCAGAAGTGTATTGTTCTAAAAAAAATGGTTCTATAAAGTTTCATTTCAGAGGAGTGGTACCAGAGTGGCGCTGAGCTAGATTTCCACTAGATGATTTTTCCACCTAGAAGTAAATTGGTACAGAACATTGCTAGGTGGTCTGTGCGGCTTTTAGGGCAGAGGATGAATGAAGGGGGAAAAACACCCAGCGCAGTTAGAGAGATCATATGCATGGTCCAGAGGAGAGTTGAAAAACAAACTTAACAGGTCATGTACAGGTTTAAATCGATGTTCTTGGCTCAAATCGTTTCTTAAAATAATTTTTTGCGAGCCTCAGAAGAATGCAGTCAGAATGGTTTGAAATCAATTTTAACTCATTTTCCATTCATAAAATATGAGAAGAGGGAGCCAATGTTACTGGTTCACTGGAGAAACAGTAAGGGTTTCCACAGTAGAGAAAGAAGTTGATTTCAACTCAGACAGATATTTCAAGCTTCAAGGGCTGTGTCTAGACAGAGAAGGATTTGCTACTCTCAAAGTCGTATCAAGCAAGGAGTGTAAATGTATTTCAGGGTCCTGGAGTTCCTGCAGAACTTGGACTATCAGCAACCACAAGACCAGCTGCTTCTGGACCCCTTGCATAGGATTTCAGCCTTCCAGACTGGGGATTGTTTCATCAGCACACTTAAAAGTAAACCCTCCAAAGGGAGAAAACCCTGAATCAATGAGGACTGATGGCTTTTGTGAGTGTGAGCGTGTGAATGTGTGCATGTGTGTCTGTGTGTGTGTGTCTCTGTGAGAGAGAGAGAGAGAGAGAGAGTGCGTGTATGTTCTCATTAGGGGACGATCTATGATTTGACAGCCTCGCTGCTGCCGCTCCTGCTGCTGCTGCGGCTGTATGTGCTGTCATTAGTTGAAGGGCTGCGAGGGTTTGAAGGAACTGCAGTTCTGAGGACTGAGCGCTGCTGAGTGGTCTCCCTGTCAAACAGAGTAGACGAGATTTTCTGCAGAATTGGAAACTTGAACCTATTACCACTTCATCTACCCAGAAAAGCAGACAGCACTACAGAGGATAAGGTAAGAGAAGAAATTGCTCTCTATTTGTAACGTAGGGCAGGGGGCAGGGGACAATCTAGGCTCAAAGGCTTGCTGTTTTATACCAAAGAGATCTCACTCTCTGGAGAGCAAAGGAGGCAAGAGCTAAATTTCCACCCACCTTGATCATTGAGCCTCTTGGCTTTTTCACTCTGGTACCTTTTTCTTCTTTATTATACTTTTCTTAAGCATCCGAGAGGTTTCTTAGTATTTAGTTTTCTGTGAGCAGATATTGTTTAGTTTTTTTTTCAGTTGGGCACTGTTTCAAAACAGGAAGCTTTTTCTATTTCTCTTTCCTTAAATATTTTTCTCCATTAAGAGGGAACCAGTCCCTCCTAATGTGAGCTGGTCAAAACAACTACTCCATTGTACTCCATCCTACACTACAATTGCAATAAAAGAAGTTTTCAGAAGTACATATGAGGAAAAAGTGGGAGGTGAAAGGAGAGGAAGGGAGAGTTTGCTGAGACTGTGGTTTGATCAGACATGGTGACGCTGTGAATGAACGTGTACTATAACTCTTCTCAGGGGGATAGAACCGCTGCGATAAAAGTGGGCACTGGACAGAAGATGTTTTGAGAAGTGCGTGTCTGAGAGAAGCTTTTAAGCCAGTAAAGATGGAAAACGAGACCATCAGTGAATTGAACCAAACACAGCTTCAGCCACGAGCAGTGGTGGCCCTAGAATACCAAGTGGTCACCATCTTACTTGTGCTCATTATCTGTGGTCTGGGCATCGTGGGCAACATCATGGTAGTCTTGGTGGTCATGAGAACCAAGCACATGAGGACACCCACAAACTGCTACCTGGTGAGTCTGGCAGTAGCTGATCTCATGGTCCTGGTGGCTGCAGGCCTTCCCAACATCACGGACAGTATCTATGGTTCCTGGGTCTACGGCTATGTTGGATGCCTGTGCATTACTTACCTCCAGTACTTGGGAATTAATGCATCTTCCTGTTCAATAACAGCCTTCACCATTGAGAGGTACATAGCAATCTGTCACCCCATCAAAGCTCAGTTTCTTTGCACATTTTCCAGAGCCAAAAAGATCATCATCTTTGTCTGGGGTTTCACATCCATTTACTGTATGCTCTGGTTCTTTTTGCTGGATCTCAATATTAGCACCTACAAAGATGCTATTGTGGTGTCCTGTGGCTACAAGATCTCCAGGAATTACTATTCACCTATTTACCTAATGGACTTTGGTGTCTTTTATGTTGTACCAATGATCCTGGCCACTGTCCTCTATGGATTCATAGGTCGAATCCTCTTCTTAAATCCCATTCCTTCAGATCCTAAAGAAAACTCTAAGACATGGAAAAATGAGTCAACCCATCAGAACAAGAATTTGAATTTAAATACCTCTAATAGATGTTTCAACAGCACAGTATCTTCAAGGAAGCAGGTAAGTAAAACTGAACCTCCAAGTCAATAAAGGAAATGTGAGCTAGAGTTTCTTGTAAGATGGGATCAACTTTGCCCTATTTAGATGGCGGTGAAATCAAAATACAATCACGCAAATGTTTCACAGTGTAAGCTTCTGTTTCACATATTAAACAGTGTAAGCTTCTGTTTTACATATTAAATCCATCTCTAAAGCAACTGAAAATCTAAAAATAGATGGGGAAAATTTGATAGCACATCAGCAGGTGTCAGTTGAAGTGCTATGAAGATATAAGGAAATATAAACAGAAACTCCAGAAATCCACCTTTAAAATGTTTGTGCCTCTCTGAAAATGTCATCAGAATATTTGGATCATTTCTGCCTTCTGTAGGGAAGAATTCTACTGCATGACAAAGAATTACCTTTAAAAATTCTATTGCACAACAAAGATTTGACAAGATAGTTTGAGAATAGACATGTAAAACAATGAAACTTTTCTTGCCATTCTATAGTCTCTCACAACTGAAACATAACTGAGAGAGGTTCTGGACTTACTTTTGTTAGTCTTAGTGGGAAAGATTCTATCACCCTCTCCTCCAGCTCCCTACACAGTGTCCAAGCGTGCAGAAGCTGAAAACACACTTTGCTCGGGAAATAAAAAGGCCACCATCAAGCACAACTTGTTATAAAAAATAATTGAATTGAAATTTTTTTAGTCTGATTTTCCTAAGCATAACTGAAAATTCCTTTATGCTTGTAGATAACCTGAATGCCCATGTGGTTGCAGTTGAATAGCGGTTTTAGTAGTGAATGAAGGGCAACTTTGTTATAGTAGATATGATTTATAATCAATATAGGAATAAAATGCTTTTATATCATACACACATTTATCTATATTTACGTAATCGTTCTAAGTTACTTACAAGCTTAGCTTTCAGTTTCTTTTCCTTCTTTGTTAAACATAATAAATGGACAGTATTTATTCCCATAGCTGAAAAAGAAAACTTGAAATCAACAATACTGGTTCTTTAAAATGGGTTGAATTGGCTCATATGTTTTTTTCTGCAGGGAATATAGTTCTTTCTGTGTGCACAGGTAGGAACTGAGTGTACTTTTATAAAAGTTTACAGATAGATCATCCACACTATTACTTCCTAAATTCTAGATGAGTTGATGTATGAAGAATTCTAATTGGATGTGTGGGCACACAGTGAAATAAACTACTAAAAAATGTAGCTGCTTTAGATATGCATGGTATTAATAATGAACTGTAACTAAAAATATATGTATATACGTTTTAAATGATACTGTAATATTTGATTTATATAACATTTATTTTTTAAAATACTTGGATGATAGAAGGGAAGACCTAAGCAACTACTGCCAGCTCTTAGATTTCTTTTGATTTGAATCTAGTAGTGCTACCTAATACAAGGCACATTTGGCCATCTATTTATCCAAAACTTGATTAATGGAAATTTAGAGAGATCTATTGACTATCTTCCAAGACAAACATTAACAAATGCAATAAGAGAGTAAAGAATATGTACATCTTAATTAGAGACCAAACACGGGTTAATGTCTGCATCAAGGAAGGGCAGTGAGTAAATTCATTCATTAGACTCCAATTTATATTCTTGTTATAAATTCTAAAAAATCATTTGTCTGGTCTAATGTCTTTTCTTTCCATCATAGCCTTTAGTACCTATCAGCATTAATAATATGCTTTAAATTACTAATTTTGTTACATGTTCACACTCTCATTTCAAAGCTGTTACAGATAAGCTGTCTTTGCAGAGGCTGTGTGATGGAAGACAAAGCCAAAGATTTGGTTCTAAACAACCCCGGGCTGGAATGCCAGGGTTCCAATCAAGCTCTACGACCTTGAATACGCAAAACTCTGTGAACCTTAGTTTTTTCCTCCATAAACAAAATAAATAGCAACATCCAGGATCAGTGTGAGGGCTCAATGGAACATCTTGTGAAAGATACCTAAAGTGGAGTGGTGATTAACACCTGAGTGTTAACTAGGCTCCTTCCTAGTTTTTTAATATGTTGGCAACTGAAAGGGGAGTACAGATTTGTTCCTAAAATTATACACTCACAGCTTGAACAAAGATTATTTGTTGAACAGATGTGTATGTTGTATAGCAACTTCTTTAAAGAACTTTTTAATAATTAGGGCATTTGGGGTTGTCACATGAACATTATTGCCAGTCAGCATCCAGGATGAGGGATGCCAAGTGTCCTGCAATGGGCAAGACCGTTCTGCACGATGATGAAGTGCACCTGCTCCAAATGCCAGCACACCCTCCGTGAGAAACCTGGGACGACATATAAATCAACAGGAGTGCACTTAAGTAACGTGTCCTGTAAGTCAGTCCTGATTACAGGTGGGATGGGAGTTTGGAGAAAAGAAGGAAAATTGTGGGCTACAGGGATCAGAGAAGTCTTCATGGAAGAGGTGGCATTTGAGACGGCTCTGGAAAGATGAGGCTAACTTGGAAAGTAAATGTCAAGAGTGAGAGCATTCCATGCAACATAAAAGACAGGACACGGTATGGGTCTGGAGATGGGCAAGGAAGGGTGCATAGGTGGGACTTTTATGGGATGCAGTGACTTGTTTGTCTAAAATGAATGATGTATTTGGGGAAGTAGCAAAAAGTAAGATTAGACCGATAGAAGTGTGCACGTGAGGAGAGGGTGGGAAGAGGAGGGAAAGAGAGAAAGAGAGGGAGAGAGAGAGAGAGAGAGAGAGAGAGAGAGAGAGAGAGAGAGAGGCTGTAGAGGATCCCAATGATTAGGCAGAGAAAAGAGTTTGAACTTAATGCAGAGGCAACAAAGAATGTGCCTGGCGAGCAGGGAGCAGCGATGTTGCAAGTGGTGTTTGGGGATGAGAAATTTGACCACTGTGGGGGAGGCAGATCTCAAGGGCGAGAGACTGGTGGCAGGAAAACCACTTTGGAAGTTGTTGGTAGTGATACAGGCACGAGGTAGTAGGATCCTCTGTCAGGAGAATTTAAAGTAAGGTGCAAAACACAGAGATAGTTCAAAGAAAGAAAGGGTGCAATGTGAGCATGTTAGACACAAAGGATGAAGGGAGGACAATTCAGTAAGGCACTGGGTTCCGAGTCTGGAAGAACAGTGGTGCCCTGATGAATGGGAATGAGAGTGGTGAAGCACAGCCAGTTTTGTTCAAAATTAGTGACCTTTAATATGGCTTTACCTGCTTCCAAAATAAAGGTTCAAACCTCCACCTTCTATAACCCAAGGACTGTTATTTTAATATTTTCTCTGCATTTTCTCTTTTAGGCAAGTTTAATTTACATTTTAATAATACTCATCTGGGTCAGGTCTTTCTAACCAAGTCTTATTAAAGTCAAATATGCATAACCTAAAAGAACTACATTTAAAAAGGAAATAAAATGTAAGGGACAAAGTGAGATTTTTGTTTGCTTATTTGTTTTTAACTTATGTCCCCTATGCAGAAAATCCAGGCCAGAATATTTTCTTCCTGTTTTGCAGAGTTTCAGTTATATTCTAAGAAACCACCTAAATATTGAATAAATTCAGTAAAACAAATTACTCAAACTTATGACTTGTAATTGTGTAGACAAAAAGATTATCTGAGTGACTAAACCTTTTGCTTTTTATAACTGGTTGATATGAAGGAGGCATGGTTGAAATTATTACTTTGTTACATTTCAGCTCTATGTATGCAGTGCCTAAAGATTCCCTCAGCTCAGTCAATTCAGGTGTTCAGCGTTTTGTAGATAAAATATTTCTATCATTGACAGTATATTTCTATGTAATTGACAGGATCTTTTGCTATTTTTGAAGCACAGAAATGCCTGAACATCTTTGTAAAGGGGTATAATGTCAATAAATGTATCCAATTCAAATGTGTACTTTCCACAGGATGCAGGGATATGCAGAATATTTTATATAAATCAGGCTACTTGTTTTATTTTCAGTGGAGTCACTCTAATATCTTTTTCTTGATTCTTACAGTACAATTGGTAGGGAAACCGTGTAACATAGTCCTAATAGAAGCTCCAAGAGTTAATGGCAAAATTTTCATTATGGGTTTTATTTGACTAATCAAGCCTTAGAATATCAAATAGTCTTTGTTTCCATAAAAGTCTTAAAAATCTTCCACCATGCTAGAAGGAATGTTGGTAGTCCAAGAAACAAAAGTAACTTTCCTTTTTAAACCAATATGTGCCTTGTGTTGTTATTGGTGGTCATGGTGATGATCAAGATGATATAAAAACAATGATGCATATTATGAAAAACACAGAAAATTAGGAGTAAGAAAAAAGACACCCCTTACCCCACCTCTCAAAGACCAAAATCATTATCATTTTGTTATATTCCTTTTCTTATGTTTTGACTGAATCTTTTTTTACATGATTATAGCCAAAGTGTATGTATAATCTTGTTTCTTGCCTTTTCACACAAAATGTTGAAATCAATATTCTCAAAGAGAAAGCACAGAGTAAAAGAAAGTGATTAAGATTGAGTAAGTTTCTCTGAGCCTCAGTTTTCTCATCAATAAAATGGGGGAAAAATTACCTCGTTGCTGATATCAAATGAGATGTCTGCTCCCCCTCCCATCTGTCCATTCAGTTACTCTTTCCTCTCTCCTGTGCTTCTTAGTGATCCCTATATCCCCAGGCACCCTCCTGACCCTCCTTTAAGCACTCCCCAGTCATACAATGTGCCCATGGAAAATGAAGACAGGCAGGTGAAGTCCATGTCTTCTCTCTTCTCCCCTGCCTCCCTCCAACTCCTGCCTCCAGGGCTATTTGCTTTTTAAAGAAGACATCTTGAACAACGAAAAACCTTTAAGACACAAAGAAAAAGAAGCATAATGTTGGAATGTCGTGAACATAAAGTTCTGTAAATTGTACAACTTAAGCAACTGCCAGCACCACCTTCATCTAAGAGAACCCTTGCTCAATAATCATCCTTCTCCCCAGATAGCTTAGTCAACAATTAACCTCACAAGACAAATTAAT